GGTTGGTCGTGGCAAAGGAGGAAAAGGTCCTCGTTAATTGCCCTTTACTTTGAAGGATTGACATTGGCAAACCACGCAAAGGGAGAGTGTCGCCTCTTGATAGCAAACTACTCATGATGGGAGGAGCTTAAGTAGTTTACCGGTGGGTGCAAAAATAAAGGCAATCCAAATTTCATTTTGTGATTGTTTCCCAAATACAGACAGCATATTCAAACACCATCGTGATTATGCATTGTAGTATTTTCTGTATATTCCAATTTGTACAGTGTTTACACGCCGCGTTGGACAGAGTCAATATTTGAATTGAATCAAGTGTTTATTGAGAAATTCTGTAAAAACCTTCAAAATGTGTCAACACATGGCTGCAAAATAGCTCCGCGATTATCTAAAGCGCGTGAGAGACCTGGAGGCAGGGAAACCTGCGGAACAGACGTGGACCGTTATTGAACGCGTTCAATTGTATCGAGCGAATGCGGCCAAAGGTAATCCTAATTTTAGGATTTATTCAATAACCGCCCAATTTAAAAAATTTGAATAATGAATTGTTAATTTTGGAGTTAAGTTTCTAAACCATTTATTTTATTTTTAAAATATTAGTGAATGGAGCATCAAAAACAATTTTGTAGTTCTACGTCAACAATGCGGTCGTGCTTTAGACACAACCCTTAACTTTTTTCTAAATGTTCTCTAGAATGTCTCTTGGGTAATTTGTACTCAATATGCTCGCCAACATCTTATTTCGGGATTCTCATGTGAATTTTGTATGCATAAAATAAGTGGTTGTATCCAAGACACGACCGTAGATTTGACGTAGGATTACGTGCTCGGTAGCAATATTCGGCCTGGAGAAAACCGTTCCATAATTCGGAGTGTTTTTGTTTAATTGACAAGGTCATGTGGTATTCGGTCATTGCGAGAATTTGTATGTACCACTTCAAAACGGTTACGCATTTGAACACAAACGTTTGGTTGCGGAGCAAATTATCAAAGAGCTTTGGAGGTGGCAGCAAGGCGAGCAAACGTTCAATGAAAATTAACTCTTAAACAACAATACATTATAGTGGTCTTGAAAAGAACCGTTTTGTCGTGATGGTTGAATAATACTGAGCTATTAGGGTGTTCAACACGGATGAGGCTGGCGAGGTGTATGTTGTTTGGAACGAGGTTGATGCGCTTGGCATAGTTGGCCCACAGCGGCTCACGACGAGCTACTGAATCCGATCAGTAGCGGTGCGGCTTCTTCCTCGTTCTTCGGTGAATCGAGGGCTCTTGTGGGCAGCCTTGATAGCAAGCTGTTGCGGGGAGCTTTCGTTGTTAACTGGCAACGCCACGCGCCATAAGCACTGCTGCTGCTGCTGATGGTGACCGACCGGATACCACCACACACGATGATTGAATTAGCACCGTTCGGTGAGACCGGATGGAATTCGATTTTGAAATCTGTGTTAGGAAACGCGCTTTTTGCAAGCTTTCGGTGATAATATTGATCACCATTGCAACAGTTGGACATTTGTGTAATTTTCAGTAGTGACCTATTGAAAATTGATAAAGTGTTCATTTTAGCAGAATTGTAGAAAAAAGTTCAATCGATTGGCTTGTATAGAGTTATAATCCATCCGCTATTGACTGAGTTATAAGTGGTTAAAAGCTGACCACTTTTCGTAACGTGGTCGATTCTGGTTTCTTGAAATTGCACCCCCAATATGTTGCCGAAAGATGTTGTACTACGTAAAAAAAATCATGAAAATGTCTCACATTGGACAGACCCCAAGGAGTTTCCGTGTAAATCCGGAACCGTTAATCTGACTTGACCAACAAGTGTGAATTATAGAACTGTGATAATTTCTCAATTATTTACAGGGTGTTTAGTTTGACTCGGTGAAACATTAAGAAATATAGAGGCAAATGAACAAATCAATTAATGAAAGCAAAGTAATTTTGGACGCAAAGGCTAACACGAATTCGGCTATTTTTGTGTTAGCACATCAGTCTCTTCATGATTCTCGCGACATCATTTAATTTTTTCGCGATTATCGCTACTGAAAGATCAAATCCGCCTCTAATCTACAAAAATCTCGAAATCCACGAAATTCGCGAAACCTACGCCTGTTGCAAATCGAATTGAAAAAAAAACTTTTGAATCTTATGAAGGAAGATTTAAAAAAATGTTCGTTTTGTAACCAGTAAAATGAGCACCCCATCGGGCTGGTATGAGCGCCCTAGTTAACTACCGGTAAGAATATTTTGTTTTCATGAAGATTTAAAAAGGGTCATCAATGAAAAGGTTTAAAAGAAACAACGATTTCTGTAGAATAATTTAAATTTAGGAAATAGGGTTAACTACCCCATTTCCGGCCAATTAAGCACAACCCGCACATAGTCTTTCTTAATGTAGCGTAGTTTAGCATCAAACGGAATGTTATTATTACTGATGGCTTCTAAATTTATTTACCTTTCCGTACGTACCGTAAGATTTGATAAAGATAAACAAATTGTTGAGATATTGTTAAAAGTCTAACACTGCTTCTTGACGCCAAACTCTGCCTACGGATTCTAAACTCGGCCTAACGCATTGAAACGCCAATGAATTTACTTCGGCCTATCGGAAGAAGTTGAAAATTGATTCGGTTGGAGCGCTTCATTTGTTTTTGAGAATATTGGGTGCAAACATTCATATCACACGTTCTTATTGACAAACGCATAATTTACCTTTTAACGCCGAAATCATGGATTTATTTGATGTTTTCTGCTTGATAGGCCCAAAATAGGCGCTTAGGCCGAAGTAGTTCTCTACCCTTTTTCTATATTTTTTCAGTCTTGTGAATTAATTATTTTTTTTTCCAATGCAGCTGCTTTGTAAAGAGAACAATGCAACATTTAAGAATTTAAGTGGAAAATGTTTGAAATATCAATGGTGATCATATTGCCCTGAATGGAGTTAAGTAATATTTATGTTAAGAAAAACTATAATTTTCATTGAAAACTAGAAACACATTGTGTCATATAAAAAGCCAATGACCATTTAGATAGCTACTGAAGGAATATTGTCGATAAGCTATAAAATACTACTGATAGACCTTAGTTTCGGATTCAGAAATCTTACAACATTTTCGACATTTGGAGCTAGTCTAACATCTTTCGAATATTCGCACTAGAGAAAAATAATTTTTTTAGCCAAAAATTAAATTGAATGTTCAAGTAGGCTTCAAGCGTTTAGCATGCAACAGATTTTATTTTTTGTAAAATAAAGGCGAACTAAAAGTAAATTGGTACGCCCTCGCGCGCCGCTAGCACGCCTGGGAATCGAAAATCTTTGACAGTGATTTGTTTACACTTATATAGAGAACATCTGGTGCAAGTTTGATCAAAGAAGTCGATCGCTTTCAGAAATAACGTCAAATGCAACTCGAAAGAAGAAAAATATTGTACACAAACACCTGAAAAATCCGGAGTGGTCTAGTCCAAGCTGGCTGAAGTGCTGAAGATTCCGAAAACAACAGTTTGTCGAGTGTTCAAAACCTACAAGGAAACCTTGAGTGTGTAAGAAATCAGCGGACCTACGAAAAAACTGGAACCAGAGATCGTCAGCTGCGCAACAAGATGTTGAGGTTCGTTAAAGCCAACCCCGGTCTTTCGATCCGAGATGTGGCCAGAGGTACAACGCCAACATACAAACAGTGCGGAACATCCTTGCCAGAGAAGGATACAAGTCGTACAAAGCCAGTAAACATCCGAACCGGCACATGAAGCAGAATTCCGTGGCCAAAAAGCGTGCAAGGCTCTTGTTCGAACGTGTTTTGACGAAGCACAAGGGCTGCACTTTGATCGATGACGAAACATACGTCGAACTCGATTTTAACCAGCTTCCCGGTCAAAAGTTTTACATCGCAACTGGACGTGGGGGTGTGCCGGGAAGATTCAAGTTCGCGACAAGTTCGCGAAGAAGGTCATGATTTGGCAAGCGATTTGCATCCTCGACGATGACATCCCAAGTTTACATCGAAGAATGCCTGAAAAAACGTTTATTGCCGTTCATCCACAAGCATAGAGGCAAAGTCATCTTTTGGCCCAATTTGGCAAGCTGCCACTACTCCAAGGTGGTTTTGGAGTGGTATGCTGCCAACTTGATCAATTTTGTCACCAAGCTAATGAATCCTCCGAATTGCCCGGAACTTTGACCAATCGAAAAACACTTAAAAATTTCAAAGAAGTGACTTCGAAGAAGTGGCGGGGCAGTCAAGGACATCCAGCAAATGTGGGCCAAATGGAAGAAATGCGCTGATTTCGTGTCCGTTTCCACTGTGTGGGCGCTGATGGGCTCCATTAAGAGAAAGGTTCGAGAATTCGTTCGAACTGGAGAAATGTAACCATCTAATGCTGTAACTTTGAAGTTTTAATAAAAGTACTGTAAAGCAACCATTTATTGACTTTTTAAACTTATTGAATTAAGAATCACTGGTAATTTTGTGCATACCAATTTACTTTTAGTTGATTTTAACCAGGAGGCCACATTGCCCGATTGGCGAAATTGCCATACTGGAGGGAAGCATCAATTCAAAAAACCCAATTTCAGTTGCTCCAATCAATCCTCTTCTGTCACCGGAAATGCTTCGTGTAATTGCAACATTCAAAGCACGGTAAAATCTCAGCTGGGAATTATCACTCATTATATACCTACATGTGGCAATTGAAAAAGGTAGACATACACAAATACAATATTTCCTCCCCATAGTCATAGTCCATCATTCGTCCCGCTGTTTACATAGTTCTCGGAATCATCGCCGGACGAACGGACAGCAGCAGTTAATTTTATTACATTCGCACGCTTTGGCAAGCCCAACCTTCTGCGTCGTCTGCTGGATGTGACGTGTTATCAAACGTTAATTATCATTTGCCCCGACTGGTACCGTAGTACACGGCGGACGAAGGACGGCGTGCGAGTTTCTTCAAACTTTCAAACGTGCGGATACTTCTTACTCCCGTTTAGTTTAGTTACTTACTTGCTTGTTCTTGTTACGTTGTTTTTACTTCGTTGTTTTCTCTCTGTTTTTGTCTACTCTCCGGTTGTTGTATTCTTTATTTCTTGTTTGTTATTCAAACAAAACTGATATGACGACAACGAACGGAGCTATGTACTTTTGTCGGGAGTGAATTAATCGTCTTTCCACCGCGTTACTGTATACATCTGACGTTCTTTCCGAATATGTGTATTCACATTAACGAATGGCACCACTCGAACTTTATCAATGCTACCTTTTTTTCACGGGGGCTCGGGTATTTTTAAATAAACGTTCATTAATAATTCTTCTTCATTCACTACATTAATCACAACACAAAATCGTCGGCTGGCAATTTCACTCTTTGTTTTAGCAATAATTGATTCAGCGGATCATTCGACGGTTCGGCATTAATAGTATTCAAGCACTTTTACTTTTGTCACTGTTTTTTTCCCTGTTCTAACAATCACACTTTACAACACAACCGAAGAACGTCGATGACACAAACGGAAACGATGTGAACCGGACGATGGCCGAATCGAGACTAGTGACCAACCGTGCGCCAATGACTCGTGAGCGCTGCCGAGGAGGATCAACATTGCTCGCTGGGTGGATGGATGGGTGGATGCGGATGGGCTCGCTCTCACTCACGCTCTCGTGTGTTGGCTCTTGCTCCGTTGATGGCCGGGTTTGTTGTTGCACCGATCAATGACGATGATTACGGTGTGGTGTGCTTTGCTTCTCCGATGGTTGATTGGAAATGAATGATTAAGCTTTGTTGCTGATGATATGGTCCGATGGAAGGGAGCTTGTACTTGTATGGGGCTTCAGTGGAGTGGGAGCTGCAATGGGAGAGATCATTGAAGAATTTTAGATTTTAAGGAATCATTGCATGAAGTGTCAATAGAAAAGGGAGCAGGCACTCCTTAGTGTACGGTAAATGGCTTATACATTACAGAGAGGTGCCGTTGTTTGCGGATGGAGTTTTAGCTGGTTTTTGGTAATAAAGGCTAAAAGGAATACCGGCTAAAACTCCATCCACAAACAACGGTTCCTCTCTGTAATTATTCGTTGAGTATATTAACAATGGATCACGCATCAGAGCGAAGGAATAATTTGGAACGATTTTCAATTCGATGCATTTTGCTAGTTTGTAATTACAAGCTTCAAATATAGAATTCTTCTGAATTTGTATGATATTTTCTAACCGCTTTCGGTACCATTTTAAGTGAATGGTTTCAATTTAATCGCAACACAATTTGATTTTACATGACATATTCAACTTTCACCATAAACACTAAAATTTTACATGTACTAAACGTAAAATTTCTTAGGCATGCAGCGTTTATGGAGAATGCATCGCAGCGGCCATGATAGAAGCCATCCCAACTAACAATTTTCGCAATGTAAACGCTTTACTCATTTCATTTATACAGCCTCAAGCTGTACTCAAATGTTATACGATATGAGGAAACTTTTACTCAACCTCTTTACAAGCAAATCAAACTTAGTCAGTTACTAATGGCTCTTGGGACCGGTTGGGACAAGCTCTTATTGCTTATCCATTTAGAAGCGTAAATGCTTGATTTCATGCTTGAATCGAAAGTACCTGATGATGTTCAACTTCGACGTCAAACGGTTTCTGGGCAAATGCTTCCTCGCAATACCGGTGATGAGATCCGACTTGAGCTTGGTTTTTGGTGACATGATTTTCTTTTTTGGTTCAGCTTGCTACGGCAATCAAATGGAAACTAATAAATGGTGTGGTCTTTCCCCGCTCAAATATCCCCCTATTGAATTCTAGAAACTTCGAAACCAATGTTATCAAGTGATTTGCAACAAAGTAGGTGATTTGTATTTATCGATTTCAATGATAGTTTGATTTGCTGGTGGACATACTGCAAGTATTGAAATTCTGAACTTTTCTTTCCACAGTCGAATAACTTTTTAACGGTTAGCAATAAGGTTAAAATGTATTGAGCAAAGTTTTTGCTTATAAATATTGCTTTTCCCATATTTTTGCTGCATTTGATTGATAATAGCGCTATGCTGGATACCCACTTTTGATGATTGAATGCAGTGATGTACAACAAAAAACACATCATTTTAGAGAATTTAAAAAAATTGTAACTAACCAATTGGGCACAGAACATGCCGTAGAATTTTTTTCTCTTATAGTTTTGACCCTTGGTAATCTGCGAAAAATATAAAAGAGTGAGATTTCTCTGAAATTTAAAGAAATTAAAAGTATTTATTGGAGATGGACTTTTTTCAAAAATCTCGTCGGGGCGACCTCTAAACAACATTTCCCAGAGTTGCCGCCAGAAAAGTTTGTTTGTAACACCCTTAGCTATCATTTGGAGGTTGAGCCCCCAGATTTCCAGACATAGTGCAATTTTGGGATACCCTAATATGCAGCTTTTTTCAGCTACTTTACAGCACAATGCTGGAAAAATTGGCTTATAATGCTGAAAATGCTAGTTGGGATGTACATCAAAACCTGGGACGGGACTTGACAATCGGGTAGCGATTTCGAGGCAATTTGCTGTTAAATCTGAGCTTGTTTCTGATTGGTCGATTTGACAGTAGCAATTGTGGAATAAAAAGGACAGAGGGGTCGCTACAATCTGGCAGGCAGTGATGCCGGCATCAATGTTGACTTTAATGGCGTTGTTAATTGTTTATTTTCAGCGAAAGGAAAGTTGAAAAATTGAGTGCACTGCGTGTTTTAAGCGATGGATATTGTTGTTTGTTCATGGTTGTTTTTATTGTGTTGAGCAAAAATTATGTACAAGCTGCTAGACTGCGGTAGAAACTCCGAATAAAATCCAAATGAAAATAGAAAAAAATATTTTACATTCCTGGCATCATTGGTTAACTCCGTCAAACACCACGCACAATTTTTCGAAGGGCATTCTTCAAAAACATTAAGCAGAGTGAGATTTTCAAGTCCCGTCCCGGATCAAAACAAATGTACTCTTAATTTATTTCGGTATTACCGAAATAGCTACGCACTGGAAGTCGTAACAAATTCTAAAAGGGTTATGATAAGTACCCTGCTTCTTGAATTTTATCTACAACACTAATTTCATGCGATTTTTTTTTTTTCAAATACGATGCAAACCACTTGGAAAGCAACGAGATGCAATGTACCCCACAAGTTGCGATAAACTCACAAAAGTGTGATCCGGCCACCGGAAGAATGAAAAAGCCTCATCGTCCTCGTTTGGGAACAGCAGCTTTTCGTGAGATCTGTCCTTACGCAAAAATCGGATGGGTTTCTGATCAGTAAGTTACTGTTCCAGCGCTTGGAACGTGGAATTTTCCAGGAGGATCTGCGCTTCCTAATCTCGATCGTGGTGGTCCTGCAGAACTAGCGGGGCTTATTTAAAAACATAAATTTGCATTTTATCCACTCCAAGCGGGTCACAGTGATGTGGAAATATGCATTCAAGGAGAGTGTGCTTTGAGTTATTGGCATCTATATTATTTTATAATCTAGTTTAGTGTATGGAAATAAATCTATAGTATAAAAAAATAACGATGAATTAATTCATAATTATCCGAAGAAAAACGACTTCCGAAAATATTATCCATAACCTCCTCATATGTGAACAAATTACATGACATTGAATTTTACATAGTGACAAAACGCAATATGTAATTTTAAGGAACGAACGTAAAAATAAGTTATTTATCATGAAACCTTTTAGTTACACGTAGTTAAACAGAAAATTGCACGTTTCGTTCATACTGTGTAGGTAGGGAAGTGTTTACTCTAAGCTTGCAAATGCTGATTTCACATAAAATAAAATAAATCAGAATTAGGGTAAATGTCGGCTACGGCACTTGTTCACTGCTTTCGGCAACCAAAATTTAAACGTTAATTTTACAATTTTTTCCCATCAAAACACTGAATTGTGAATGTATCCACAAGATTTCTTAGTCTTTCAGCTTCCATCTGACTCCATTTTTATAACTGACTAGCTGAGTGTGCCCGGTCTTGCTCGGGATTCAATATTAGCTTGAGTTTATGCGCCGATTTAAAAAAAGCATGCTTTATTGTACGTATCCCCCCCCCTATTATCTAAGGGGCTACCCCCTATGATTATCTCCTTATACCCCCACACTCGCCCCCACATGCCTAATTTGGTTCCATTTGCTTGATTAGTTCTCGAGTTATGCAGAAATTTCTGTTTCATTTGTATAGGAGCTCCCCCTTACAGAAAGGGGAGGGGTCTCGAACCATCATAAGAACCTTCTACGGCCCGAAAACCCCTGTATACAAATTTTCACGCCAATCGGTTCAGTAGTTTCCGAGTCTATAAGGGTCAGACAGACAGACAGACAGACAGACAGACAGACAGACAGACAGACAGACAGACAGACAGACAGACAGACAGACAGACAGACAGACAGACAGACAGACAGACAGACAGACAGACAGACAGACAGACAGACAGACAGACAGACAGACAGACAGACAGACAGACAGACAGACAGACAGACAGACAGACAGACAGACAGACAGACAGACAGACAGACAGACAGACAGACAGACAGACAGACAGACAGACAGACAGACAGACAGACAGACAGACAGACAGACAGACAGACAGACAGACAGACAGACAGACAGACAGACAGACAGACAGACAGACAGACAGACAGACAGACAGACAGACAGACAGACAGACAGACAGACAGACAGACAGACAGACAGACAGACAGACAGACAGACAGACAGACAGACAGACAGACAGACAGACAGACAGACAGACAGACAGACAGACAGACAGACAGACAGACAGACAGACAGACAGACAGACAGACAGACAGACAGACAGACAGACAGACAGACAGACAGACAGACAGACAGACAGACAGACAGACAGACAGACAGACAGACAGACAGACAGACAGACAGACAGACAGACAGACAGACAGACAGACAGACAGACAGACAGACAGACAGACAGACAGACAGACAGACAGACAGACAGACAGACAGACAGACAGACAGACAGACAGACAGACAGACAGACAGACAGACAGACAGACAGACAGACAGACAGACAGACAGACAGACAGACAGACAGACAGACAGACAGACAGACAGACAGACAGACAGACAGACAGACAGACAGACAGACAGACAGACAGACAGACAGACAGACAGACAGACAGACAGACAGACAGACAGACAGACAGACAGACAGACAGACAGACAGACAGACAGACAGACAGACAGACAGACAGACAGACAGACAGACAGACAGACAGACAGACAGACAGACAGACAGACAGACAGACAGACAGACAGACAGACAGACAGACAGACAGACAGACAGACAGACAGACAGACAGACAGACAGACAGACAGACAGACAGA